TCTCGTAGAGAAGGATCTGGTATCCAGTGACAATCTGCCACTCGGGAGAATTTTTACAACCCTTTCTTTTCAATCTCGTGCCAATTTCTCTGGACGCAATACCCTGCCTGCTCTCTACCGCTTCCTGCCCGTTTTAGATGCTTTTGAGTTTGCGTTTCCTCGTCTCCTCACCTGAAATGACGGCCCGAGATGCATCCTTTGGCCTCCGTGATTCGGTATCGAGGTCATTGAATTAACAGCCATGTGCTGAGGCTGAGTGAAGACTGTCAATATTTTGTGGCTGGTGATACGATTCGGATGTCGCATCACGGCCTTCTCGTCGGCACCAGCCCCCTCCGAAATGCCTCTCTTTTCCACTGAGCAACAGTCTTTCGGTACGAATCCCAACGATCACGTGCAAGCGCAATGTCAGTGCAAAGCGCGTAATTCTCCCAACTAGCCCTAACCAAAGTTCACCCGGACACAGCACATCGACGTATCATTGACGCATGGCGTCTCCAAGCCCCTGGAAGAGCATTGAGCCCTTTTGGAGTAATTCTCCGCTAATCTTTATATCTGTGACGTCTCGTTATGATGAGTAATACTTCATTACATTCATGTCAGTCAAGTCAGTTGCCAAGACGACTGTCAGCGTCTCTGCGTACTCGTCTCTTTCATCACGCGTTCACACACACACACACACACACACATATATATATATATACTTTGCATCGTTTCATTTTAAAATGTACAAATTTCTAAGAACAAAAAATGTTAAAACATGTTACTGAACACTTTTTAGAAATGTTTTTTTCTGGCCGTTCAGTCGTGTCATATTGATTGGGAAGCTTAAAATATTTGACATCTGACGAGTCTTTGCTTTGGTTTCCGCAGCGAAACTCGAGCGGCAGCGGAAAAACGCATCCGACCGCAAAACAAAATCCACCGCGGATTAAAAAATACCAATCCGCTGCCGCGACACTCGCCTGCCGCGCAAGTCTGAACGTGTTCATAAGTAGAGACCGGAAAAATATGTGCATATATATGTAATGAAGACAGTAAGAATATGTAATAAATATGTAAAATCAGGTATAGTGTGTAATATTAAAATACGCTACCTTTACCAACAGAAATTAAATTTATCAAAAAATTTCTAAACAAATTTTAAAAATATTACAAATGTTTTAAAAATAATTTAGAAAACACAAGTTGATGCACATGTTGCAGCACATGACCGTAGTTTAGCAGTCAGACTAGACGCAGTAAAAGTCCTCGTACAAACTGGCGATATCTGCGACCAGCAATCGCTGCAGCGTGCAACATTCTCATCCAAGTGTTACTCGTCGGCGATGGCCAGAGTTTCTCGGAAATTAAGGTGAAAGGTCACGAAACACGGCGTCAGGAATACTTTTCACCCCTAAAGGTGAAGATCTCAGTCGCTGGCGCGAAATTCCCGCCACTGAGAAGTGAAACGCGCGCCAGACTTCAAAAACATCTGACCGCGTCTTAACGTCTTAACGTCTTAACGTCTTCGATTCGACAGCACTCAGTAATAACGTAGGAAATATTTGTCATTTGTTTGAAACTGCTTCATTTCATCAAAAACTTGTCATAAAGGTGAAGAAAATCAATAGAATAAATAATATTTTGTAAAAATAAAATATGTAATATAGTACTAAATATGTAACGAAAATAAATGTGTGTTAGAACGGCGACGATTACAGTTCTGAGAACGGTACGTAAAAATTCGAACTTTACTCACAAGCGAACACATGACGCGAAATTTTCGGTTCGGACATTCCGCCTAGGCTGCGGATCTTCCGCACCGGTTTGTGAGAGTTACATAGGATACGAGACGTGGCTCATAAACACTGACACAAAGGTCTTAACAGCTCGCTAGAAGTAGTAGGCTATAGATGTTTTCTTTTATTTATTTATTTTTTGAACGGATAGTGCTATGAACTGAATAACATAAAGTAAATTCCTCCTTGATATTGTTTTGTTTTTTCAAAAATTAATATTTACGTTACAAGCGATTTGTATGCATTATTGCTTTCGTGAGTGGAAGTTTGCGATTTCATCAAATCAAAATTTCATTTTATCAAAATAACTGCACTTTCATAAGATGTTTAAAACTAAATACTCTTATGTCTGTGCCTACCTATCTTAAGCCATCAATGTTTATACAATTTTTAGAGTATGGACACGATTACACACCTGTTTAAATAAAAATGAAAAAAACCGGTTCTGACATATTACATAATAGCTGCACACAGGCAAGAATTTCAGAACTAAAACTCCAGTGATTAGGATATCTTTCAGAAGACATCAATATTTGTACAGTTTTTAGGAAAAGGTGGTTACTATTGATGATTTAAGCAAAAAAAAGCATCGCATCGTCCGAAATCCTCCAGAGAAACATTCCGCCCAGTTGGAGGAATTCCGCCCAATATGATATCCCTGCATTGCACTTAAAAGCTCCAGTTTTTTCCGTTTTTCAGAACATAACATTCCGAGTTAATAATGCAATTAAATATTTCGAATGAAATGAAACCAGTAACATTCATTATGTTATTTATGTCTTAAGTTTAAGAAGCGTTGCCGTACAATGCAGCGATGGATATTTGAGATGTGTTTCCGAGAAATTTATTGGTGGTGACATGAATGGAGAGATGACATAAGGCGACTTTGTAACATTAACGATAAGTAAATAATGTCTCTACGTTCAATAAAATGGTATTCAACTTAGGAAGAAAATATGTATATATATTGTGACGTCATGGGATTGGGCAACCCCATAACGCCACCGTCTAGTATGTGTAAACACCCACAGGCAGCGAGGATAGCAGGCGCGGCGGAGCAGAGGCTCTTAACGCGCGGCCTGGTATCCGTTGTCCGTACTAGACGGTGGCGAACTAGCGAGCAACGTTTTCCTCGTGGAGGGTTGAGAGAGCGGAAGCAACCCCACCACTGCAATGTCCCCAGGCGTCGGGCGATTTATACGTGAACCCGCAAGCGGCAGCTCCCTCTTGCCACCACTCGCCGAGTAAGCAGCTCTTCTTTTTTGGCTACCACTCGCCGAGTAAGCTGCTCTTCTCTTTTGCCACCACTCGCCGAACTAGCAGATCTTTTGCCACCGCTCGCCAAGCAGCTGTTCGTTAACATTAGCTCAGATATTGTTCGCTGCTGCAACGACTACTAGATAGGAGTATTCGGTGTCGAACAGACGTTCTAGTCAGTCATCCGCGAGATAGTGCAGATTCAGTAAAGTATTCCTTCAATTAACGACACGGGAAGTAAAAGTAAAGTTGTGAGAGAAGCATTGAAAGCTCTGGTTTAGCAAAGTAGAAGTAGCAACGAGCGAGGAACTTGCACGAGTATTCAGTGAAGTGCAAGGGACATTTTCGCAACGTGGGCGTGGTCAGAGGCGCCAGTAGCAGACGAGGAGGAAGAAGAGGCCGAGGACCCAGGCGCACGAGGAAGACGGAACGACTAGAAAGAAGACCGGAAGAGGACGCAAGAAGACAACGTAGACGGCAGAGGCGAATCCTGTCTCTTTACGACGCAGAAGCTCGGACCGAGCGACGTCGACGCAGAGACCAGCGCACGTCCCTCAAGGCCAAAAGTAGGAAGTCCACGAGGTAACGGTTAGGGCGCGAGAAATAGGTCAAGTTCACGTCGGCAGGGAAAATTAGTATAGGAAAGTGTTAAGAAATTGAGGACACGGGTGGCAACAAATTGCAGTAGGAGACATAGTAGGAGACATTTTGATGCAATTTGTTTCCACCCGTGTTCTCAAATTCTTAACACTTTCCTATACTAGTTTTTCACTGCCGACGTGAACTTGACCTATTTTCCGCGCCTTAAATGTTACCTCGTGGACTTCCCACTTTTGGCCTTGATGGTCGTGCGCTGGTCTCTGCGTCGACGTC